ATTTTTTTTTTTGTTTAAATTAAGAGAAGGCAGTACCATTCAAAATAAGTTTAATTTGATTTGTTTCAATATTTGCTTGGGTCACTTTCGGTACACCTTTATGGTTAGCTTGATTTGTTTCAAATTTGGTTTGGAATTCACAGCTAATTTTGCGATACTAAAATTGGTAAGAGTAGTATGAGAGCAGAAGGATTAATTAGAATAATAATGTGGAGTGGGAGTGGGAGTGGGAGTGGGAAATGAAATTATAGATTGGGTTAGCAGGTGGCGAAATAGTAGGAGAGGAGGCTGGACGGCATGCCTCCTAGAAGAAAACATGTATATATTAGCGGCTAACAGAAGAGCAATTAGTTTAAATATTCCAACAAAATAAATAATAAATAAATCCAAAGTTTTCAAAATTCGCAGCCCATTGAGTCAACGTTCAATTTTCAATCAATCAAAGTCCAAAGTCGGGCCAAAGATCTCTCTACAGATTTCATTCAGCTACGACTTCCACTCCCACATCCACTTCCTCTTCCGTTAACGCTCCGTCCATATATATCTTTCACATCTACCTGCCTCTCTCAATCATACACCATATAATCATTTTTTCCAACCAAAAAATAATAATAATAATCTGTTTTCCTTTTTAATTTTTAGTTAACAATCTAAAAATCTCCTCTTAATCAATTTAAATCTTAAAATAAGAACAATTTATTTTTAAATAATTTTAATGTACATTAGAGCTAAGGGTCCCTAATCTTGTTGATAATCCTCGATTCACCTCTCAATTTTACCTTTTCTATAATTAAAATTCTCAATCAAGTAATTCTGTAAAAAATATTAATTAAAAGTTGATATGCCCTTAAATTATTGTTTTCTTAACATAATTAAATATGTGAACATGCTACTTGAAATAAATAAATTGTATTGATGAGTGAGTTAGGTTTTGTAGATGGATGAGTTGAATTTATTTATCAAATATCTAAATATGTTAATAAAGTAGTAAAGTAATTTTTTTTTGCAACAAAAATAATTTAATGATACATCAACTTTTCGTTAACTAGGACCTAATTAATAAATTTTAATACATAATGGTAAATTTAAAGATTAAACGGAAGACTATCTAAAAAAATCCTTAGAGCTATTTAGATAAATATAATAAAATAAATATTTATTTTTAATTATAGCATAAAGTTAAATCTTTTACAAAAATAGTATAATCTAAGTTAAAATTAAATTCAAATGAAATAAGAAACACACTAAAAAAAGTTAAACTTATGATATATCTTAAAAAAAGTATATAGTATTTTTTAAAATATATATTAGATTTCAATTTATAGTAGAGTGAAATTTCTGAGAAGAAAAAGGAAAAGAAAGGAAAAGATGGTAAAGATTCAACATTTAACACTATTTGGGTCAGATTGTACGGCAAACTGCAAAGGATCTAGTTTCTACATTTGTTTTATTTTATTTCACTCTTTTTGGTTGTGCGCGAAGGTTTTGGGAAATAGTTGTAAGAAAAGAAAACAGGCGATTAAGAAAACTAAAAGTTTTTAATTTTTTATTATTATTTTTACATTTTTTTAAGGGATAATATAGACTGGAAAATGGCACCTAAAACTAAAACTTCAAAAGTTTTTTTGGAAAAAAGTTCTGAACAATGATTGGAAATAAATGAGTTTGTCAAATTCGTCAATATTAATTTACTCTGAAAATGGACTTTGCAGATTTCTCTCTGTCACTTTCCAAAGTATCCCTGTCAACACTCCTTTTTTTTTTTTCATATTCAAACTTTATTTCTTTTTCTTTTTTTTTTAGTAAAATAAAATAAAAAATATTGCACAGAAAATTAACATTTTTGTAGAATGTACATTTAATTTATGTTGGTAGTCCAAATGTCTCTGGTATGAAAAATCTACTTATTGATTTTGCATGTCTCAATCTGTAACGAATTACTAGATTTGTAATATCTTTTTAGTACGGATTTGAAGTGGCCGGTTCCTGCTATAAAAGATGTTGAAAAACGACTACAGTGACAACTTGGTTGAAAAATACCATATAAATTTTATTTTTTTTTCCGTTATTGTTATTTTAATGTTGATTGAGATTTTTCTAAAATATTAAAGAAGAAATGGAAAATTGACAGATGTATTTGAGATGAATTTATCTATTTATTCAACAAGTCAGATCATCATTTGAGATCGTAAGAATTACTTTATTAACTGAGCGTACAAATTTTGATGACTCGAACAAAGACTTAGATTTGATTCGTCTTCGAAGGAGAAGAAATGGACGGGAAAAGATTGGACGTGAACCACACGGGTTTTGCGGACCCACCGGGGGATGACGGCGCCGTTTTCGTTCTGGTGGAATATTCCAAGGCGGAGTAATTGAAGCATGCAGCTGCAGCTGAGGTGGACCAAAATAATTCAATTCAAAATTGCTTTAGAAAATTCAACTTTTGAAACTGACTCACATTTCTGTACATCAACCACACCGTCCACTATTTTTTACAAAATTAATCACTTTTTTTCTTTTTATTTGAATTATGCGAATGTGAGGGGGGCTTCTAAGCTGCGCCTTTTATATGCACAAACACAAGATCCAGTGGATCATCTACTGCACTCACCACTAATATATTATTCATGTGATAAACTATATCTTATATCAAACGTAAAACACCTCATTCATTTGTTAATATAAAATATATCATTCATGTATTCTTTTTTACATCACTAATATATCAATACAAAACATCGTATATCATTCTTGTATCATTGATAAACTATACCAGTACACTCGTATACCTAATATATAAAATACATCATCGATATATGAGTTCTTCTATTTCTATTAATGTTTTATCATCGGACTAATATGCTATTGATTAGGCCAAATCGCTATTATCGCAAAAGCTCCTTTATATAATCTTAATGATAAGGATTGAACTAATTATTTAATAGGGGTCTATTAAATTATGTTGAAATTGGCATGGGAAGTTATAAATGCAAATTTTATATCATTTTATTAATCTATACATTTGAGTTTTTATTTTTATTTATCATGAAATTATTTTATTTCTAGGGTATTATAATATAAATAAAGAGGAGAAATGAAAAACTATCGTCTTTGAAGAAAGCTCTTAATTCTCCAATTGGACAACTATCGCATATGATATTCTGCTCCAGCCATCAACAATTTAATATTTGAATAGCATTATATTACTCGTTATTAGTTGCTAAAAAGTTAGTAGGGATGTGGTGTGCTATCTTCTCAATCTTAGTTAGAAAACAGAAGAATATGCTTCGTTTCTTTTGTGGAAACATAATTAAATTTAAAAGGTGATAATTATCCTCTCTATCTCTTTCCATCTGTTGCCTAATTAAACTTGTTATCTTATCTCAAAATAAAGTTTGATCGTAGATTCCTGCATTTGCTTCTTCAGTTCTGATTCCATCTAATCCAATCCAACACCAGCAGACGTGCCCAAATTATCAGTCCCTAAACCTAAAATAATATTATTCTTTAGTTGGTTTGACGTCATATGTAGAAGAAGAATGGAATAGAATTTTTAGTTATAGATAGATCCACTTCCCCCTTTTTTGGAATTTAATTATTTCTAAAGTGAGAGGTTTAGATTAGAAGGAGGAGGTGGCGTATCTCTTTCTCTCTATATAAAATTTAAATTTTAAAATACAATATCACTACGGCATATAGTGTTATATTATATTAAAACAATAATCTCTCCATATTAATTTAGACGCAGATTTTGAGCCAGCTACTCGAGTTTTTAAATTTAATTATGTATGTTGTAACTGATCGAGTTTAATCTCTTACCCAATTATTGCCATCAAGCTAGTAAAGTTCAACGTGCATATTTTATCATTCAACTTTTTATATCTCCAATTATCATTAAACTCTAGAATTACATGCTTTGGATGTAGAAGACATGGGTTTTGTAGGGCATAATATACAAAAATGGATCAACATGGAAACTACTTGGTTCCTTAATAGTAAAGAGCAATCTTGTACTCACCAACTTTAAATATTTGAAAATTAAGAGAGAGAAATACAAAAAAATAGAGACATTTTATAAAAAATAATGAGTTGTCAATTTTTCAATGATACTAAGGACAAAATTTAGTCGTGACTTTTAAAGAGCAAAGTATTCTGAGAGGAAGATTAAGGAAGGAGCTAAGGGTTGAAGTGCGGCTCCAAGTATCATGCAAGAAAGAGCAATGTGGTTAACATGCAAAAAAAAAGTAGGCTGAGCTGAGTTTCAAATTTCAACCAAACATTGATCACGTCTAACAAATCCATGTTCTTGGTTCTTTCTCTCCAAAGTCCAGTCGTCGTCATTTGTCAAGTCGATCGTATTCGGCAATGGCAATTGGCATGCATTCTAATTTAGTTTAATAGAAGCCTTTTGCGAGGCCCGAGGTCGGTGGCTCCAAATAGGTCCAAAGGCCACTTTCACTTTCACTTTCTCATCCCACTCCTCTTATTCCAAATCCAAATGATTGGAAAAATTCCGCCCATTCTTTTTCCACGCCTGGGCCTGTGGGTGACTGCCGGTGGGTTCCCTTTTCCTACGGACACTTCTAAAATCCAATTCCTCATCTCTCAATACCATTTTTGGAACCACAAAGTTGATCACTGATCGTATTTAGCTTCTCTTAAAAATTCCCAACTATACCCTCCTCTCTCTCTCTCAGTCAGAAAGGAAGTCCAATCCATATTGGGGACTTCCTCAGCAAAACCATATAATATATATAGGTTACTCTTGTTGAGCAAAAACTCCATTCTACCAACAAACGAGTCGAGATCTTTATCCAAGTTCGCTACCCATAAAAGTTCTCAACTTTTCATAAGTATTTTTATGGTTATGCAAACATTTTAGTTAAACACATTCATGTTGTATACTCCTCTTTGGGATCAAAGTCGACAGTTGCAGAAGACCGTGGAGGCTACTCAATTGGAGACTCGGGTTCCACTTTCTGATAAAAAAATAATAATAATAATAAAAAACATACAAATGGATCGTTTTCATTTCATTCCATTTACAGTCCAGATGCTGGGCTGTAGTATGTATTCCAATTTTTGTTTTGTGAGGTGCTATCATTGAAGTAAACATACAAATCTGCGCAATAGTCATTTCTGTTGACTATTGTCCTCGATGAATCTCTCGTATATAAATTAATCACAAGCATTTAACTTAATTATTCCTCAAAATCTCTTAGCTGTGCTTTTAAGTGTGCATGCTCGCGTCGCATCATCTCTAGCCGAGCCTCGATCATGTACATCTCATCCTTGAGGTGGTGCATTCTCTTTTCCAACCATGCCATGCCATCACTCGATCTTCCACCACTGAATTTTAGGCCCTTCGCATTCGCATACTCGGTTGAACTGACGTGGATGTGTTGGGGTCTGGATAACAGCATAACTATGCTCAACTGCAGTTAAACATAACATAATTATTGGTTAATTACTGTATGCCCTGTCCTGTCACCTGCGGACAAGGATTCAATATATGTATGTCTCTATAACTGATATGCAAGCACCATCTAACTACCTCAACATTGTAAATATAAGATACTGATTCTGTTCTCACACCACCAATTATAACAATCAAATAGTTTATTCAACAAATAATCAATACCCACGCAACCAAGAAAATCCTTTAACATTTCCTCAACAAATTAATTTCCATTTTCAACATTGATATTTGATACCCACGTCAAACTTTTCATAATACGAAACAAACAATTGAAACATTTCCATTTTCAACATTGAAAATATGTTATTATAACAGAGAAGGTAGCCTAACCTAATATAGATAAAGATATGCAGTGGGATCTTCCTGGACTTCTAAGACTTCAATAAGAGATTTCAAAAACTTTTAGGTCCCCTCTAACAACCATTTATTTTTAGTTTTTTGTTTATGAAAATTAAGCAAATAAACACTTTTCTTAATCTATGTACTATTTTGTTTCGCTGTGCACTTCGTAAAAACATTTTTTAAATTTATGCCAAATTTTGTTTTTAAAATTTGGCTAAAAGGTTTTTAATAAAAATGAAAAATGTACCAAAGAAAATGCGAGTAACCAAACAGAAAACTAGAAATAAAATCTTTATCAGATGGGGCCTTGACGAAAATTTATCCCAAGAATATTGGTCAATTATATTGTCCTTATCCCTAATAAATTGTCTCCTTCGGGCAGTGGCCCCAACCAATAAGGCCATCAACTTGTGTGCAGAGGATAGTGATGGAAGTAGAGCGCATGGAGAGAGATGAGCGGAGCCTCTATTTCCAGTACAAAAAGTTTTAGACATCACAATCACATACCTTTAAAATTTATATGGAGGGTGAACTGAACAGAACAGAACATATACTGTTCAAGCAAAACAGTTGTGCTTTGACTGCTCACTTTTGGAAACATTCACATTCTGGTCGGGCAATGGCCAGTTGGGTTAAAAATATATAATGTCTGTCTGTTCCAACACGACTGAACAATTTCATCTTCCTTATAGATTATTATTACGTACGTTTGGCTCAAATGGAATGAGCACGCATGACAATTTAGACAATCTATCAAACCAACGTGACTGCCGGAATCTACCATTCCATTAGGCATTATTAATAAATTTTAGACTATCAATAGGAAGAAGCATAAACGGATAAGGTAGTTTCCACCCTGGCAATAAATTTTGGACTTAGAATTTTGAAGAAAATATGAATGGAACATATATTTTCTGTAAATAATAGAGTTAAGAGGCAAAGAAGAGGCTCGATTATGAGTCCTTTTTAACTTGGCTGAAGGACTGGGTGAGATTGAGGTTGGTTTTCTGTTTCTCATCATAGGTCAATAATGGGTTTTTAGCATTTTTTTAGTAGGTAAATCAGGTATTTTAATTGAATCAAAATCTGGCGGGAGCATAAGGAGGATGGGTGCAAGAGAGACGAGAAAAAGAAAAAAATAAAATAAAAACTAAGTGCCTAACAGGTATCATTTTGAAAATTGTAGTCATGGCCTAGCTTACTGCTTACATGACAAAGAAATTATAATCGTATGCAAATTCATGGATGGAACATATAGGTGTACTGATTTAGATTCCATGGCAGATAAGTTGTAAAAGAAACTACATACCTGCATTAGGAAAATCACAGCAAAAGTGATAACTAGTGCAAGAGGAAGATAATTCTGACTTCGTAACAAAGACCAAAACTTCTTCATGTATCCTCTTGACCAAGAAGCAAACGTAGTAGAATGAACTCCTCGAGTAAAGTTTTCAGCTTGTTGATCAACGTCAGTGGAATATGGCATCTCAGTTAATCTTCTAGCGTCAATCTTCTCATTTGACCTTTCCAATGATTTGCTGTTATTCGTTTCTTCTTCAATATGATGATCTTTACCACTATACGATGTACTACCACTAGGACTTCCCTCTGAATGGTAAATTAGTAACCAGAAAGTGCATGGTCATCAATTGCATGATTTTGAATATAACATTTTGTTCAGAAGAAAAGTAAATTTATATAACGTTCTAACCTTCAAATTCTTTAAGTTTCTGCTTCAACAATTCCCTTGCCTGAAATAGAATGTCATACAAGCTCTTTTCAATAGCACTTCAACTTTGATTAAGACTTGCGAAATTTGGAAAGGAAAAAATTATACCATCTGAACCCACATTCCATAGGCCTCTCGGCATTCTTCAATAGTAGACTGCACTATTTTCCCTGCATCATAATCCACAAAACTCACAACACGGGTAGGAAATAAAGGTCAAAAGTTCTAAAAAAGATTAAAAAAATAATAATATTAATAAGGTTAAAAAACACATTTGGTCCCTATACTTTCATTAAAGTAACGATTTAGTCCCTGAACTTTCAAAAGTAATGATTTAATCCGTGTACTTTTAAATTGGTTACAATTTAATCCTTACCGTTAAAAATTAAGTTAAAATTGAACAGAAGAATGACGTGGCAGCCAACTAAGATATATGTGTATAAATTAAATGGCCACCTAAGCATAATAATGGGTCAGTTCAACTTTTTATGTGTCGGTTTAAACTTGACTAAATCTCATCCTTCCACTCCAGGATAACGTCCATCGCTGTACGAGCTCAAGAAACTCCACTGGGGAAAATATTGTGGTGCAGCAGGTACTGATAGAGAAGATGGGGGCGATGGAGGTGGCTTAAGGACGTAGGGCTTCGTCCGAATTTTGATAACCTAGCTGGAGTAAGGTTTTGTGGCCGTCATCGGGCAGTGGATTTTCTTGGAATTATGGAGGAATCAATTTGGGCAAAAGAGATGAAGACCTCCGTCAAGCTTGCAGGCGTTGAGTTGTGGCGCCAGTGGTCGAAGGCGACAGACATTGTCGTCAATGGAAATTGCAAGTGACAAATGAGTGGATAGAAAAGGGGGAAAACAAATTTTAGCGAAATGGGGTTTGTTTCTTTCTACAAGAAGGGTATTTTCAAAGTTTGAGTTTAAAAAATTGAGGTGGTGATTTTACGGAGGAGATTGTCAGAGTCATGTATTTCAAGCTGTGAAAATTCAATGTGGGAGAAGTGGGAAAATATGGTATAAACTGAGAATAGAGATTTTGTGTTCGAGTTGAAGGAGAAGATTTCAATTTTTGTTGCTTTTTTTCTTTAGTTCCTAAACCAAACCGACCCGAGCTTGAAAGTTGAACTGAACCACTATTATGCTTAGGTTGCCATTTARTTTATACACATATATCTTAATTGGCTGCCACATCATACTACTGTTAAATGATAACCTAATTTTTAATGGCAAGGACTAAATTGTAACCAATTTAAAAGTACAGAGAATAAACCGTTACTTTTGAAAGTTCAGAGACTAAATCGTTATTTTAATGAAAGTATAGGGACCAAATATGTTTTTTAACCTATTAATAATGATCATGCTTCACTACTATTTGGACATCTCACTCACTGTCACAGCCCAAAAGGAAGCCAGTTTCTTTAATCAGATGTGCCCATATTTTAATTGTTATAAGATTCCTCTCTATAATTTTGCTCCTTCAGCTCCAAAGAGAGATCATAACTCTCCTTGTCTTCAGTATCCAATTCTTGCGCTCCTTGTTTCTTTATCCAATTCTGAAGTTCTTTAGTAATAAAAAATGTGTCGCCTATACAACAAAATTAAGCAACCTTTACACTGTCTTCAGATTAAAGACTAGCAACTAAAGTCTCGTTTGGTAACGTTCCCATTTCTTGTTTCTCGTTTCCAATTTTCTTTAAGAAATCTTAACATTTTGAAACTAACTATGTTTCTTGTTTCTCCTTTTTTGGGAACATTCTCAAAATTGTATAGAAATTTTTGAAACAACCAAAACAAGTTTCTTTTTTCTTAATCCCATTTCCAATTTGTTCCAAAGCATAAATACAAAGATTTTTTTTATCATACTTGAATTCATGGACGTTAGGACCATGCAATTTTTTTTTTTTTAACAAGAAACGAACTTTTCATTGATTTAATGAAAATGAAGCAATTCATTTTTCTTTATTAAAAATGAAGAAATAGAAACAATAAATAGGAACATTACCAAACGGCCCTAATTTTCCTGATTTTAAATGTGATGAGAACGATAAAAAGTCTCTAAATTTTCCAAATTATGCTTTTGAAGATTGCTTAAACCCCTATAATGGTTTCCTCAATTTGCACAAATAGTTGATCCTAAGCTTCCCCAACATTCATATGGTAGCTCAATCAAGAGGTCCTCCAAAATATATATATATATATATATATATATATTTTATTGAAAACGACTTTGTATTGACATAAAGGAACAGCCTAATGGCCAGGGGATGAGAAAGCCCCCGCCACTCTAACTAATGAAGAACGGCTTTCTAATCTCGTATAAGCATCATGGGACTATGGTTACAAAAGAACGCCTTGTGATTTAAACCAAGTAGAAACAATAACTTGTACACGATTACAATAAGAATCAAAAGAACGAGGCTTATTGTTGAAAACCCAACTATTCCTTTCTTTCCAAAGACTCCAAAAAATGGCCCTAACTGCACAACTCCACAGGACACTGGCTTTTCCTTTAAAAAAACATCCCTAAAGAGCTTCGAGCAGCCAATCTTCTACCTTCTTAGGCATGCAGCAAGCGAAATTAAACTCTCTAAACAGAAAGGACCACGTATTTAAGGCTGTAGTGCAATGTAAAAACAAGTGATCCAGATTGGCTCCTCCAATATAAGAAGCATTTTTCTAAATTGGGCAAATGTGCAGATCCATATTTTCTGCAAGAGATGTCAACATTTCTATAATGTTCGTTTTCGGCAACAAAAGGAGTAACTCTAGCTAGTATCCTGCATGTCAAAGTGACTTTTCTTGCCACCATTCTAGTTTTGCATTAATCAACAGATCCTTGGGTTTCACAATATCAAAACTAACATCTATTTATGTCCTGTTAATTCTTCCCAAATTGCCACATGCAATTTGGGAATAAAAGTGGAAAAAATCATAAGTCTTTGCCAGTAGTCCTTGTAGGAAGTAGCAAAGTCAGATCATAGATATGAGACAGACTCCCCCAAAGTTATATGCTAAAGGGCAGGAAAGGAACAGGTGATCCACCAATTGCTTCTCCTTTGCACATCACACAACAACTAGAAGAAAGGCAACATTTGGACATTCCTATTGAATATCTCCGGATGGCTTTAGGGATCTCCTGGCTAAGAGACAGAAAACCACTGCAAAAGTCCTTGAGGAATGATTGCAGGTAAGGGGGCCTGATAAACCAGCTTCCAAACTCCCACAGCTCCTCATCAACCAAAAAACAATCATCCAGCTTACCCATAAGAGAAACTGACTCCTCAACTACACCATCATTAATATTTCTTCTGAGATTAAGAGTTTAAGACGTAGACTCAAGGTCCCAACATCAAAGACAAAATAGAATAGTTTATACGCGATACTTGCTCAAATCATTCAGACAACTCCCTATCCTCATGAAAAACCTTTTTTTTTTTTGGTTGATAAGCTAACATGTGAACAATTAATTTTAAGAAAAAACTAAATTTCAAACATAGTACCTGTAGGCCCTTACGCTAAGTACCACTGCATCTAAAAATTTAAGTTGTTAGGTGTAAATTATCTCATTACTATTTGTTTTTATTTTCTTTCATATTAACTTTAAGTAAATAGTAATCACTATTAATGTTTTACGAACTCACCCATTCGTTGCAGCCTTGTTCACAGTATTTCAAGTTTAAGGTAAGTTTGGGATGGCTTTTGGTAGGGTGAAAAGTGCTTTTTAGCCGATTAAATCAAACTTCAAAATTGCAAAAATAGGGTTCCTCCTTCTAGACTTTGTTTTTGTATGCCCTTGTATATTCTTTCTATTTTCATTTATCTTAATGAAAAATTCTATTTCCTAAAAAAAAAAAAAGCAGCTTTCAAAAGTCATCAACTAAGTGCTAACAAAAGGGCCTTTGGGAGCACCGCTAGGAGGAAACCCGAAAAGCCAGACCTTTTTTTGGCTCTAGTGGAAGGAAGTTAGCTGCCAAACTTTCAAATTGGAGAAATTTAATGTGTTCAAAAGGAGGAAGACTCACCTTGGTGAATGTTGTATTATCAAGCATTCCTTTATATTGCCACTCAGTTTTCAGATGCCCTGGAAAGATTATAAAAGGGCTAGAAAAATTCATTCACAGCTCCTTATGGAAAGGAGCTTCAAAAGAGAGAAATTAGAGCGTTTTCGCTTAGCCTCCTCCTCTTATATGTATGTTTCTCACCTACTCTTTAAATAAAATGGTGTCTCTCTCCAAAGAAAGATAATGGTAGAAATTTGGTTAATTGGAAGATTACCTCCCTGCCTATTTGCAAAGGGAGCCTGGGGGTTGGAAACCTTAGAGGAAAAAATATAAGCCTCCTTGCCAAACCAGGGTGGAGATTATTAATGAGAAACATGCATTGTGGAGGAAGATCATTGCAAGTACGTGCAGTCAAAGGAATGAAGACTAGTCTCCTATCCTTAAAGGAAACAACTATTTTGCAATGATATTAACTTCTAGATCTTAAAGGTGATTGTTGGCAAGCTAGGGAGGTAAATTTCTATTTTGTAACACCTAAGAAAGTGGAAGCAATAAGCCAAATAGAAGCTTGAAAGTGTTCTGGTGTAGTTTGGGCTTGGGGTATTGAGTTTGAAAGTAATAGCTTGTTTTAGAATTATTTTTTTTTTTTCCGAACAAGAAACAAAATACTTTTAGAATTGATTTAAAAATAGTTTTCAGGTTTTGGGAAGAAAATGGTTTAATGAAAGTATATTTGGATAAATATTTTTCGAAGTTTTTTTTTCTTATTCTTTTATTGCATAAATTTTTAGAACAAATAACTTTATAAAATCATAGACTTGTGAATAGTAATTTTAATATACCCAAAGTTTTTTTCTTTCACCAACTCAGTACATTATGTGTTACCGTGGGTAAGAAAATCACCAGCACCTTTTCTTCCTCTGTCCATTTGCTTGTTTGGTCTAAGATATTCAGCTTTTCTGGAACCGACTGGTGCTTACTGCTTCCCCAATAGAATCGATGCAGGCCTCATTCAGCTTATTAGGCGCAATCCGTTCAGAGGACATGCTAGAGTTTTGAAACTTTGTTAAACTATTTGCATCGCCATTTGGTGTTCTCTCTCCCAACTTTCTTGTAATTATGATCTTGTACATATTTTGACTCATTGGACCTCATTTTTGTAACCATTTGGTCTGGTAGGAATATCTCATCTCCCCTTTCTTTTGTATGCTCCTTATTTAATATACTTCTCAGTTTCTTATAAAATATACACTATGTATATGTATACATGTGCGTATACATGAATGTGTGTGTATGTGTTAGTTTTTACAAGTCATCCGACCATAATTTTTAAAACTGGCTATATAAAAATAATAAATATAAAAGTACTTTGAAACAGTTTTCAAACAAATCCTAAATTCTTAAAAGTTAAAAAGAAATCATAAATTCTTGAGAATGTGGTTGTAATGATTTTCCACAGTGAATTTCTGCCCTCGTTCTTGATATGTCTGTCTTATCTCTTTTGTTACTGGAGTTTTTAAGATTAATTATGTGTTCTAACAATACTTTTCCTTTACTCATTTTTTCTCCATTTTCATGAATTTTATTTTACCGGTCGGCGACCGCATGGTATGGAAAGTTCTATTATATCTTTCTATTGAACTTGTAATCTTTGAGACCTAAAGTTTAAGGGATTTGATTAGATTAGATTACTTACCTATACTTTTGGCATTTCTGGTTTCTTTCAAGTGAAATACTACAAATCTTCCCATAGTTTTAACGTGTCAAGAAAATCAATGAACTGACGACCACCATATGATACAAATTACAAAACTAAAACTCTATAATCTTTTTCATTATAGTTAGGGAAGCATAATTCCAAGGAAATGTACATGAGCAATGACATACCTTTCCAAACAGTTCTTTTCAGAAATGCCACGTTCACATATACCCTCAAGATGCAGCATTTATTTGATTCATCAGCATCTTTCTTCACCTCCCAATATCCCTAACGTTTATGAGGGGAGACACTTAGTAACTATGGAGAATAACAAGAGAAGCACATTAAAATTACGTAGGAAAGACAGCTAACAAATGATTGTCTTATACAATTTGAAATGATGGTCCTCCTGATCTAGATTAAAAAACAATTTCCAGTTGCAATAATGAAGAAACTTATGGTTCAATAAACTCCCAATATCCTTTTCTTCATTAATGTTGTTGGCTCTACCAACAGTAATTTAAGACTTAGTTCCCCGAATCTTATTTTTTTGAACAAGATACGAACTTCTCATTGAAATAATGAAAAGGAACAAAATTGTTCAAAGCTATCCGTCCCTACTCTACTAAAAAAAAGGCAGGCTGCCCTGATGACCGACACTCTACCTTGGGCTTTAGTTCTCGATCGGAATCTCATTTCCTGGAGCGCTAAGAAGCTCCCCCCCGGAAAGCTGGCCGAGGTTGTGTTCTTCCGAGTGGACGAGGTCGGCACCCGCGGGCGGAGGTCCTTGCTCCAAGACCAAGAGGCGTTTGGGAGTAACTGAGAACAAGGGAGAGGGATATGGAAAAGATGAAGTAATGAAAGAGGAAGTCATTGCTAGTAGTAACAACTTGTCACGATCCATTGGTTCATATAGAATCCGAAAATCAATCAGGTTGTTTCTGATGATAAAAAGAGCTTTTTTTTGGCTTCCGCGGGCGAGTCTGTAACCGCAGGCAGCTCAGACCCGACAACATGATGGCCGYGCACGAGACCACTTCGATGTTGAGTCGGGGGATGGGCTTATCTCGAAACCTGTTCCGGATGTGCCTCCGTCAAAAGGACCCATGACGATGAAGGAGAAGAAGGAGTAGGAGTAGGAGCTAGCCTGCCTTTTTTTAGTTGAGTAGGGTTACAAAGACACCCCACTTAGAGCAAATCAGACTAAGAGAATAATGTTTAAATAAAGTGGAAAAGGAACTCCATTGAGAAGCCTTGAATTTAGCAAGGACGTAGCCTGCTGAAGGAGGCTGCTTCTTTACTTCAAAAATCCTCAAATTTCTTTCATACCACAACTCATACACCAATGCCTTTACAGCGATAAGCCAAAGAAGAGAAACTTTAGGATTCAAAATCAGCCCCAAGAGAAGTTGATTCACATTTTCTGCCAACTCACTATCGAAAACCCATGCCAAATTAAATTCTTCTGACAAAAAGTTCCAGCATTGTCTGACAAAGGGACGAAGAAAGAAGAGATGCACCATACTCTCTTCATTGGATAAACATAAGCCACAAATCGATGGTAAAAGGCAGAAGCTAGGAAGCTTCTTTTGAAGAACATCAATCGTGTTAACCTTCCCATAAATAAGGATCCAAGTAACGAAGCTAACTTTCTTTGGACTTTTAGTTTTCCAAATAGCCATAAATAAGACTTGGCCTTGGATCACCGATGGCCATCTTACAAATTGATGCAACTGTAAAGGAGCCCGAGCTGTCTAAAGACCAATTTCTACTGTCAGGTTCACGGCTAGGAGAGTAAGAATGCAGCAAAGACAATAGCAAAATAAATTCCTCCAACTCATCATCTTTTAGAGACCTCCGTGTATGAATTCTCCAGGRTAAGGTATGAGCATCCCAAAAGTCAGCAACAGATCCTGAAGAAGAAAGGGATAGCCTATAAAACGTATTATGAACCCCAAAACAAAATACACTCTCCTGAACTAAGTTTGAAAATCGAAAACTGGTTCCAATGCATCCATTGCCAAGAGACTGATCCAAGGTCTTCTAAGACATCCGATTAACATAACACCCAAGGACCATCCCAAAACTATCTCACCGTACAAACTTACTATCACTTTACGCCACACAGCATTCGTTTCACATCCAAACCACCATCCCTACTTGGCCAAAAGAGCATTAATCTTCTTAGAAGGCCGCCGATCCCCGTACCACCAACTTCCAGAAGTTTAGATATAATATTCCAGTGCACCAGATGATTTAAGGCTTCAGAAGAGCAACCGTTCCAAAGGAAAGATCTCATCTTCTTTTCAATTTGTTTACAAACCCCCGAAAATTTTTTCTAGATTGTATGTTGATACCACCGATTGCAGATTTTTCCCAGCTAACATAAAACCCCGAAAACTGCTCATAAGCTTTGATAGCCTTGATGAGAATATCTCGAAGTTCTTGAAAGAAGATTTTCCTTTCCTTGTAATCTCTTGGTTCATAAACAGTAGTAAGCCAAAAAATGTCAATACCAGAAAAGGAAAAAAGTATTGATAAAGAATACCTCCTTTTGATATTGAACCGACCTTCATCCTACATTATAATGCCTCCCGATTTTTAAATGAATCAATGGTCGACCAATCTATGTCTTTAGAACTCCACAAGGATTTGATCAGGGAAGGATCAAATTGCTGCATCTTTGTTTCTTGTAGACGTACCACATCTGGACATTGGTTCTGAATGAACTATTTAAACTTCAATTTTTTTCACCCTACACAACCCTCTAACGTTCCACAATATAACCTTCATTGTGAGCCAGAGATAGGGACACAATTGATGCATGCTTCTTTAAAGAATGAAGGAATTAAATCCGACTCTTCAGTTCCTTTTACCTCAACAAACAGCTTCTGCAAATCTATCTCAAACGATTGTTCTCATAATACTTCATCTGGAATTTCAAAGGAATTAGCAACCAGTGAAGAATCCGGACTGCTAATACTGATTTCTGAATCAAGTTCTTCGTCATGAGAAACTTCAGCAGAGGAGGGTGAAGAGGCTGAAACCTGAAAAGTCACATCCAATTACTTTGCCTAGAAGGAAATACATTGAACCTTTTGCTTTCTTTTACTCCAAAAGAAAGTTTAAATCCGGGAATTCCAACAGCCTAATCCGGGAATTCCAACAGCCTCAACTTTGGTGATAGAAACTTGTATCTAGATGAAGTTCTTAAACAGGTGCAAGTAAATTTGAAGGAAGCTTTCAACGAAGAAAGAGAAAGAAATATTGAAGGTAAGAAAGACAAGCAAAAATCTATCTCTAGTTCAATAAACTCCACGAATGAATGAAGGTAAGGCCCGTAGGAATTCTTCCCTTGATATTTTGGACAACGAACTTGAAGATAAAGATGCAGCGGTTAGAATTAGCAACTTAGATTCTTCTTCAAAGTCTATAGGCCCAGGCTAAATTAAACTCTATAGACCTTTCTTTGGATAATTATTGTGATCAGTCCTCTGAGGAAGAATTCCAGGCCCTCTTTAATGAACAAAAGAAAGTTGAAAAACCAGGAAATACAAAGCAAACACTCATCCCTCCATATTTTGAAGAAACGGGAATCATTCTGGTTCCTTTTTTTTTCTTTTTTTTTGAACAAAATATGGACTTCTCATTGAAATAATGAAAAGGAACAAAAAATGTTTAAAGATACAAACTCTCGAAAGAGTGAAGACAAAAAACGATAAAAGGAAAGAAAAAAATTAACTAGGTAAAATAAAGGCACCCCAAGTAGAGAAAATAAGACTAGGAGAGTAATTTCCAAACGAAGGAGACAAAGAACACCACTTAGAGGCTTTAAACTTAGCTAACTTGAACCGATCTGGCGAGGACTTTCTTCTTTCTTCAAAAGTTCTGAGATTTCTTTCAAACCATAACTCATATAACACAACCTTTATAGCATTAAGCCATAGCAAATTAGCTTTAGGAGGCAAAGCAAGCCCAAGAAGAAGCTGAAAAAGATTGTCCACAGCCTCATTGCCAAAACCCCAGGCTAAATTAAACTCTTGGAATAACAAAAACCAACAATGCCGAGCAAAGCTCAAAGAAAAAAGAGAAGCACCAGATTCTCCCCATAAGAGTGACAGAAGATGAAAGTTCACTCCCCCCATAAGAGTGATTCCAATTTTTTTTTTTTTCGATCTTTCACTTCCAAGGTGAAAGTTCATTAATAAAGTTTGAGTTTTCTGTGTGCAGGAGTTTTTGAGCAAGGAAGTCTCAGTTATCATTTTGCTTGGCTGGTCCGTGCTTGGTTTGGTTGTGCTTTGGTAGTTCGATTTTTGAAGTTGACGATTCAGGGAAGCTGGTTGAGTGTTTTTTGGAATTTGAAGGGTCGAGCTTTGCCTTTCGCAGCAGCCAGGTTGACGTGTTTGTTTTCAGGTTTTGAAGAGCCTTTTTCTTATGCCTGTTCCATACTTCTGTAGTAATTGTTCCAGTTTTTGGTTGACACACGATGTTTTATAAGCAGCCACCTTTGTTTCAAGACAATATTTTCGATCCTCAAGGTGTTTTAATTGGTGCATGCCGTCTCGCGAAATCCTTGGTCAGGTTTCTCAGTTTTAGCTTTAAAGGTGTCTTTTATAGATTTTAGGGGAAATTGAGAAATCTCTTTGCAGACTTTATCTCATTAATTTGGTAATACTCAAAGGCTGATGGTTTGGTTTCCCAAGGAGCTTCCCTCCTTATTTTCGCTAGTGGAGTAGATGAAGAGACTTCGTTGATCTAAGTAGATGAAGAGGCTTTTATAGTCATGTTTCTCTTATTTAAACAAGGGGGTCCTTTTGTTGTTTGGGTTTAAAGTCCTTAAAAGTTTATTACTTTACAATGTTTTCTCATCGCCCTTACTCTGTTACTTCTTTGGGATTCTCTTCCAATAAAAAGCGACTAAAGGAGTTAGAAAAAGTAATAAATAATATGGCTTATTGTGAAGAAGCTCGTTTAAGAAGAAGGTTGGAGCGGCTTGAATGGAAGATGGAGTATGATACACTTTTGCAAAGTTCTGAATCCTTGGACAATTTTAAGACCAGCGCTTGTTTAGACCTAGTACTACTAGAAACATATACTAATCTTCCCCGTCTAGAACTTATTACCAAAAACAATAGAGGGATAATTGCCACCAAATGGACCAAATAAAACTGAATAGTAGCTGATACCTCAACACGGAAATAATCTGAATATGGAACCTCATTGACTTCTTGCATTAGCTCAATGACCAAATGACTGAGAAAATGAGTAGAGAGTTAATCTAACTGAAAAAGGCATTGAATAAAAATTTGCAGATTAGTTTGAAATATTATAGATGACAGAAACTTAAAGCTCAAATAAGGCCTGCATCAGTCCATGAGCAACCACGTATCAGCACATTAATAAAAATAGATGGACAACGAAACCCCCTGCCTTCCCTCGCCCCTACAAATTAGAAACTAAGGAAAGAATCAGCAGCATTATGGTTACAAACCATATCTAGCTCGGTAAAGATGAGACCCATACCAATGCAGGGTTTTATCATAAGTTATAAACAACCACAGAGCAATTCCTAGTAAGTGTATTAAGAAACAAATAAATTTGTAAATGTCCGAGCTAGCTTACATGTAACTCAACTAATATCACAAGACAACTACCAAACTATAAAACGTTAAGTCATCAAGTATCCCAGTTTATCATGTCTCTTTTTGCTTTGCTAGAAAGTGTCAGTGGGGAATTTGAAAATATCTTACGAAACTTTTTTTTGGGGGGAAGACCACAATGATAAGAAAATCTCACATTTAGTGGGATGGAACAACCTGATGGAGGGAGAGGGTTTTGGCTTAGGAAATCTCAGAAAGAGGAATGAAGCTCAACTATCTAAATGGCTATGGAGATTCTCTCTCTCTTTAATGAACTATGTCATAGTACAAAGTGAAAGCGGTGGCTAGTAAGGATGTATGTAATTGAGAAAGCCGATATTGGTGTACTAAATCCAAAAGGAATGGAAATTATAGAAGCCCTTGGTGAAATATTTTGAGAATGCAAGACACTTTTGCTAAACTTATTTCCTTCAAAATCGTTAATATGGTGAGAGAATCACCTTCCAGTAAGATCCTTGCAATAAAATGAGCCATAGCCAATTGGTTTCCCAAAATACTTGAACTTTCAGTCAGAAAAATTTGTGGTCGGTCGATGTTTGGGACATTCGCTCTAGATCGTGGGAAATATGTATTAGAAAAAGTAAAGATGAGGAGGTAACCGTACATTGTAGTTTTCTGGAACTATTACATGGAAAAATTCTATTCATAAAGGAAAATTGTAGATTCTCGAATTTGGAGTCTTCGGGATGGTTCTTAGTCAAATCTTTGTCAAAAAAAATTGGAGGGAGCTGCTACATTGCCAAAAGCATTTGCATCTGCTCGTATGTAAATGCTCACCACATGCCACTTTTGAATCCATTGTT